CAGAGGTGGCCATGGACGGGTGCGGGGCACGCGCGTCGCTCGGCTCCGCTCGCGTCGCCGGCGCTGCCATCGGCCCAGCCGCGCAGGGCACGGCGGAGCGTCAGGGCCGCGCTCTGCCCAGGCGCCACCACGGCTTCAGCCGAGCCTGGGCGGCAGGAGCCGAAACGGCTATCGGCCGGAGGGAGTCAGTAAAGACATGAAGCAGGGAGGCGGATCAAGCAGATGGGGTTCAGGCCCTCCCAGAGAATGACACCACACAGCAACAAAACAACGTATCGACTCTTGACGTAGGAAGGCGCTTGAAGCAGGTTGGGATCTGGGAATCCAGAAGTACCCTACTTTCAACGACCGGCGTTCACAGACGGATTTGCCTACTCGAGGCCTGCTCAGCAGATCTGCGCACTGAGCATCGAAATATCTCCGGATTATTCTTCGGTCCTCCCGATCCCAAGGTGTCCGACCTCTGCAAATCGCAGCCGCCAGGCGCTCCCGAAGTCCGAGCCTCAAGTTCAGAGAATGAGGTTTGGCCCCTAAATCCTACAGCAGCATTGAAGTTGAGAGGCGCTCCCAGCGCGGATCCAAGAACACCGCGCGCATCGCCAAAAGTCGATGCTTACGCTGCGTTGTTTCTCTCCGAGTCTGCCGATCCCACTGCACGGCATCGTCTCTCTCGCTCCTGCGCAGAGGCGCCAGCATCACACCAGTGAGAGAAGCTCGCTCTCGGGCTGGGGCGAACCGCTCCGCTGTGCGCAGCAGTGCGAAGCGCCCACGGGCGGCGAGCTCCGTGCTGTGAGCGAGGCGTGGGTGCGAGGCATGTCCTGCGAGTGCACGAGTACTTGGAGGCCTGACAATGGGCACCAGCACCAAAACAGGGGGTTGCCTCCACCAGGGGGGAGGACGATCCCAGATTTTGGCGTCAGTGGTAATATTTTTCGGCCACCCAGGAGGCCCGACTGTGAACACCATCGCCGAGGTCTAGGCCATCCCCCCTCGGTGGAGGCACACCTCCGATACTGGTGTTGGTGCCAACCTCTAGGTATGCGAAGTACCCCCATCCACGAGTTGATGGGAGGCAAATGCATCGCCAGCTGGGTTATGGTAATTCGCGAAACCTCCTGGCTCCCTTGCTTCCTCGCCGTTCCTGGCGAAGTCCCCGGAAGTCCCGACCTTTTCCCCAGGGTCGGCTTTTCATCCTGACTCGTAGTTCGACGGTCTGTGGGCCAAGGAAGGCCCATGAAGTCCGAAAACTGCCAACTACATCCCGTGGCGATGTCACGACAAGAGGAGGCCTGGGGGGGCTCGAGCAGCAACGTCTTATGGTCCTCTTCTTCCCGCCGCGCCCCGCGGCAACAGCAGGAGGGGGAGCGCGTCCTGCTTGAGGCCCTCCTTTCTGGCCGTGTTGTAGCCCCTCCCGAGGAACTTCAGCACCTGCGGCCGCGTCAACTGGGCGGCCATCGAGGAGAAGGAGGAGGAGGAGGAGGAGGAGGAGGAGGAGGAGGAGGAGGAGTCACGAACAAAAGACGGCGGGGAAACTATGTTCGGCCTTCCGAAGTCCTGAACGGTAACGGGTTCTAGGACTGTCCAAAAAATAACCACTCGTGCTGAAAATCCGTCCAGGGAATGCGGTCTACACCTCATGGGGTCCACGTTGCAGAACAACAAAGACAGAGAGCTGAGCCCATCCCCAAGAGAAGAGAGGCACGCGCCCACGACGCTAAAGGCTGCACAACCGAGGGGCGTGCAACGCTGAGAAGCAGAAATCGAGTCTCCTACGACGCCTCTGCCCGCAGCGGCCGCCGTCCCAACACGATGGAACGCCAAACGCATCTTGGCTCGGACTTGTGAAGTTTCCCCCAACCAGCGTCCGACCACGAGTGGGCGAATCTGGATCCGGCATCGCTGGCGCGTGGCCCGTGGTCTCCTGTTGTTGTCCGTGTTGCGCCGCGCGCGCGCAGAGCGGTCGTGGCGCCGCGCGGCGGCGCCCAGCGCCTCGAGAGGCGGTGCGCGGCTCGGGCGCGTGCACCTACGAAGGGGCCCCAGGACACACAAATAAATACACACAAATAAAAATATGCCCCATATTTTCCCATATTTTCTGGGTTTCTGTCTTCCCCCCCACTTCCCATATTTTCCCATATTTTCTAGGGAATCGAAGATTAATTGTGTCTGTGTGTTTCTTTTCCTCCTGAACCTAATTGGGGCGGGGGAGGGCCGCCGCACACGTGCTGACGTGGGCGGCGAGGCAAGTCTCGTTGGCGCTGGCGGAGGGCTACCTAAACGGGGGGGGGGCGTTGTAGCGACTTGTGCCGCCGTGCAGGAGGAGTGAACTCAGCAGACACAGACATGCGACGTCCTGTGATGTCTTCAGGACGGCGCCCCTGGAAGAGTCCCGACCCTTCCCCCCGGGACCGACTTTCCGTCCCGAGTCGTTTCTCGACGGCCCCGAGGACCCCCGGGGCCGAACATGACCCGGGGGGAGCGGCCGACGCGATCATGTCTGGGGAGGGAGCGGCCAGAGGAGAGGGCGGGAGGAGCGAGCCACTCAGAGGGACGGGCCCCGCCCCGAGCGCGTGGCGCGGCCGGCCCCGCCAGAGAGGGCCGCCGCACACGCGGACCGCAGGGCGGGGAGTGCAGGCCTGCGCCGTGCGACGGCTGCCTCCGCAAGCGCCACTGGCAGCACACCGCGTCGACGGAGCGGCGCCACCCGGGGGCCCAAGGCCTCCCGCAGATGGCCTCCCGTGGTGCCCCGCGGGGTATCCGCATGCCCTCCCGCGTAGACGAAGAAAAAAACGCCACGGACCTAAACTGTGGGCGCTCCGCCGGGTATGCGTATGCGCTCCCGCACTGGAGAAGAACAAGCACGCCGCGGACAGAAACCTTGGGCGCTCCGCTGGGTATCCGTATGCTCTCCCGCATGAGAGAAGAGCAAAAACGCCACGGACATAAACTTTGAGCGCTCCGCGCGCCGCTGGGGGGCCCCAGCGCGAATCCAAGAAATCCGCGAGGAGCGCCACAAGTCGATGTTATATGGCGTTTGCTCTTCTTCGACGTATGGTCTCCTGCGGTGTCCCGCTGGGTATCCGTATCCATCGGTCGGAAGAAGCAGGTAGAAACATGAAGCATGAAGGCGTTTCAAGTAGATTCGGTTCCATCCGCCCCCGAAGGAGGACGAAAAAGGTGAAGCCACTCGATCCTTGAAGTATTGAGGCGCTCAGGTAGATTTGGACCTGGAAATCCAAGAATACCTACTCTCAACCACCGATGGGTATCCGTATGCCCTCCCGCATATACGAAGAACAAACGCCACGAACAGAAACTTTGGGCGCTCCGCTGGGTATCCGTATGCCCTCCCGTATGCCCTCTTTACTCTTGATGCTGTTGCTCGGGGCCTCCTGCCGCAAGAGCGGGCGCAGCTGCTCGCCTTCCATGGGGGCGGGGCGCTGCCCCCCGCTCGCCAGCGCAAAGCCCAGCAAGAGACGCGGAGGGCCGACCATCCATTTGCGGATGGCTGCGCCCCAGTTCCGGGTGTGGCTTCGCTTTCTCTCGCGAGGCGTCGGGGAAAGACCCAGACATGATCGCGTCGTAACAAACAATCAGGACCGGAGGCTCTTGGCTATTTGCGGCTGGGGGGCCCTCGCCAGGCATCGGGACCGTCAAAAAACGATTCAGGACGAAAAACCGCTCTCGGGGAAAGGGTCGGGACTTCCAGGAAAGCGGTCCTGAAAAAATCAAGACGTCGCATGTCTGGGTACACGGCGGTCGGAAGAAGCAGGTAAAAGACATGAAGTACTGTAGGAAGGCGACTAAAGTAGACTGGGTTCAGGCCCTCCCAGAATGCCAGAACACAGCAAAAAACATATTGATCCTTGAGGCAGGAAGGCGCTTGTAGTAGATTGGGGCCTGGGGGGTCCAGCGTGCAGCAGAATCTCCGGCGTGCGTGCGCACTCGGAGACCCGAAACTCGACGAATTGGAGCCGAGTTGCACCCGCGCAGGCCAAAACTCGGCGGGTTTGAGTCCCACGCGACGAGGCAACCATCCATGGGCGAGGGTGAGGAGAAGGATGAGGAGGAGGAGGAGGAGGAGGAGGAGGAGGAGGAGGAGGAGGAGGAGGAGGAGGAGGAGGAGGCGGAGGAGGAGGAGGAGGAGGAGGAGGAGGAGGAGGAGGAGGAGGAGGAGGAGGAGAAGGAGGAGGAGGAGGAAGGAGGAGGAGGAGAGGACGAGGAGGAGGAGGAAGAGGAGGAGGAGAAGGAGGTGGAGGAGGGAGGAGGAAGGAGGAGAAAAAGGAGGACGACGACGAGGGGCGGCAGACAAGGGGGGGAGGAGGGAGGAGGAGGAGGAGGCGGAGGAGGAGGAGGAGCAGGAGGAGGAGGAGGAGAAGGAGAAGGAGGAGGAGGAGGAGGAGGAGGGAGGAGGGAAGGAGGAGACGGAGGACGAGGGGGAGCCGGACGAGGGGGAGGAGAGGAGGAGGAGGAGAGGAGGAGGAGGAGGAGGAGGAGGAGGAGGAGGAGGAGGGAGGAGGGGAGGAAGAGGAGGAGGGAGGCGGAGGAGGAGAAGAGAGGGGGAGGAAGAGGAGGAGGAGAAGGGAAGAGGAGGAGCAGAAAGAAGAAAGAGGCGGGGAGAGGAGGAGAAGAGGGAATGAAGCAGGAGGAGGAGGAGAAGAGGTGGAGGAGGAGGAGGAGGAGGAAGAAGGAAAATGAGAAAGAGGAGGAGCAGGAAAAAGAGGAGGAGGAGGAGGAGGAGGCGGAAGAGGAGGGAGAAAAGGAAGAAAGGAGGCGGGGCAGAAGGATGAGAAGAGGAAAAAGAGAAGAGGAGGAGGAGGAGGAGGAGGAGGATGAGGAGGAGGATGGGGAGGAAGAGGAGGCGCAGGAGGAGGAGGAGGAGGAGGAGGAGGAGGAGAAGGAGAAGGGGGAGGAAGAGGAGGAGGAGAAGGCGGAAGAGGAGGAGCAGAAAGGAAGAAAGGAGGCGGGGGAGAAGGAGGAGAAGAGGGACAATGAAGCAGGAGGAGGAGGAGAAGGAGGTGGAGGAGGAGGAGGGAGAGGGAAAAGGAGAAAGAGGAGGAGCAGGAAAAGGAGGAGGAGGAGGAGGAGGCGGAAGAGGAGGAGGAGAAAGGAAGAAAGGAGGCGGGGCAGAAGGATGAGAAGAGGAAAAAGAGAGAAGGAGGAGGAGGAGGAGAAGGAGGAGAGGAGGGAAAAGGGAGAAGGAGGATGAGGATGAGGAGAAGGAGGGAGAGGGAAAAGGAGAAGGAGGAGGAGGGAGTTCCGAACCGAAAGGGTACGAGATTGTGCGAGTGGGCAAGAGATCCGCTTGCGTGAATCGTGGATTCGTGATTCGTTTCAAGGCGAGATGGGCGCCTTCAGGCGTACGGACCTCCCGAGACCCGCAAGCGTGGCCCATCGTTCCCATCGAATACGGTGTATTTGTTGTGCCCTGCGCCAAGGAGGTCAACCGACTGGCTGGGAAATTCCCCTCCTGTGGCCCCAAGAAGAAGGATGTTGGTCGATCCTCGAGCTTGCTGAACCCTCCTCGAAGGCTCGGTTCGGCAATGGATCCTGCTTGATTCGGTAATGAGTCCTCTTGTGTGATGAACGGGTTAAATGTGCTATCAGCGGGGGTGGCGCACCAAGGACTCACTCACGGACTCAAGGAGAGGGAGAAGGAAAGGGACGAAGAGGGGGAAGGAAGATGGAGGAAGAGAGAGGAGCAGGGATGGGGAGAAAAAGGAACGAGGAACATGAAATGCGCCAACCACAACTCCAAAGCATCCCTCCTATGGTCCAGCGCGGGAGAAGCCCCAGCGCGGCAAGCCGTGCGCAAGGAAGAAGAACACTTCGGGACGCCTCCAAAGAAATACAGTTCCCGACCATTACGCAAATCTGATCAAAAAGATGGCATTCAAGGATCTGGAATGCTGTGATCTAGGATCGAGCGCGGCCGTGGAAGCCACAACACGTCTTCACCGAATGTGGAGAACCCAAAAGTACCGATACCGCTACTCCCCGGACCGCTCCTGGGGTGCGTTCTGACCAGGATTTCGAGGCGAATCCAGCGGTGACGACGAGGGCCGCCCAGGAGGTCGACAAAGGGGAAAACGAGGGAAGGGTAGATGTATGGGTACCTCTTCCTCGTCTGCGAATGAAAAGCGATGAGCCGGTCGCGAGTGGGTCCAAGCATTCCGCACAGTTCAAAGCATGAGGCCGTGTGAGGACGGACCGCCTCGTCGATGAGGATCACGGGCAGGGAGAACGCCATCACAAGAACCCTGCCATGCCAATCATCCACCATTCGGGGAGACGTAAGACTCGGGTGCGGGGGACTCGGGTTGGCCCGACGGGGCCACCATGAAAATGACGAGACCCAATCTGAAATGTGACGCGAGCTCCCAATGCAGACATCCCACGAAAACCAGACCGCCCAAATCCAGGACGCGCTCGTCAAAAACCTTGGCAAACCCGAATTCCGGCTTACTCGTGTCTTACGTTTCCCCGAACCGTGCGCAGGCACACCAACAGCGTCCCCACCGATACATGCTACAAGCTAGGGCTCGCAAGTCCCCAAGTGCTGCCTGCTAATACTACTGGAAGGCGCAGTGGCAAACGTACAATGTTCGTGACGTGATGACCTGGGCGCTGGTTTCTGGCACCGCGTGGAACGATCGACCTTGGCAACTGGTTTCCGGTAGCGCAGGTCGTGCGATGCTGGTCGATTCCAGGCCACTGAAGGTGTTCAACCTTGAACGCCCGCGCTGAGATCGCTGCCGCGTCAACGCGGCGCGGACCTTCCCATCACAGATGAAGGGGCCCTGGGACACACAAACAAATCCACACAAATAAAAGGATTCCCCATATTTTCCCATATGTTCTGGGTCTTTGTCTTCCCAACCACTTCCCATAGTTTCCCATATCTTCCTGGGGATCCACGATGAATTGTGTCTGTGTGCTTTTTCCCCTCCTGAGCAGAAACAAACACGCGTGGACAGTGGACGCGGCGGGGGGAGGAGGAGGAGGAGGAGGAGGAGGAGGAGGAGGAGGAGGAGGAGGAGGCACCGAATACGACGAAAATCCGTCTCGGGGGGAGCCTGGCGACCTGCCGCCGACGCACGGCCAAAATCGTGGTGAGGGTTGGCGTGCCGCCTTCCGCGCCTCGAGGGAATCTGGCGCGAGCCAGGGCGTGGCACTGCAGCCGGCCCGTATCATAAGAGTGCTCGATCAGGATGAAAGGGGCCTTGGGGACGCCCACGTCGAAGCTTCTCGAGCGGGGCGCGGCCAGCGAAAGTGGCCGGGGATGGACCGAGGAGGATGCAAGGCGTACCTTTGAGAAGGTTGCCCCTCCTTCCTATGCGGGCCGACTGTATGCTACAGAAGCCAGGAGTAGAAGGATGAGGAAAGAGGGAGGAGGAGGGAGGAGGAGGAGGAGGAGGAGGCAAAGATGCAAAGCGTACCATTGGGAAGGTTGCCCATCCTTGTTATATGCGGGCTGACTGTGAGGAGAGAAATCACTCCCTCGGCGCACGGGCCAGGGAAGTCCTGCGCCCCCCGGGCGTGGTACGCATGCACTCCTGGCCGAGGCCCATGAGGTTTCATACACACCACTGTGGACGTTTTCTTCTTCGGCGTGTCGACAATTGGGCGGAAAGGGGGGGGGGTCTGGCTGCAGACCTCTGCTTCATGCGACAGTTTGCAGCAATGCGTCCAATGGGGGGAAGCCCCAACTGCTTGAAACAGGCGCCAAGAACAGCAAAGATCTACTCCATTTGGGTGGGAGGGGGTGCGAGGGCCCGCGCGATTCGGCAAACCGATGAATACGAAAACGATCGCGCGCTATGGCTCATGAGTGTGTGTGTGTGGCTCTCGCAAGGCACGTGTGGTGACGCATCTGTCGATCCAGAAGCCCTGAACCCGAACGCATTGACGTCTCGCATTCAATGCCACCGCCTTCCGCCAACCCTCCGCCCGAGGGCCGCCACCGTTCCACTGCCGCCGCCTTCCGCCGGCCTTCCGCCAGCTTCCGCCGAGGGCTACGCGCCAGAGAGGCCAGCGGGCGGCCCGGGGGCAGATTGCTCCCTCGCTCGCGCGCGGCTTCCAGGGCTGCGGGGGTTGCCACACCCAAGTGCACGCGAGCGAGCCCCGCCCGTTCGTGTCTTGTTTTTGTTGGGGGGGCGGGGTTCTCCGTCGGCGAAACGTCACTCCTACGTGTAGTCGATGAGAACCCTTCCAGGAAGCTGGACACGCACACGCACACCCACACAAATGGCTCGGTGTTTTTGTCCTGCTGACTCCGAGGCGGATGACACCGAGTTCGCACTCTAATCAATCCAACGGCTACCTCACCGTGCCCGTGAGGTGGACCCCGAGGTCCTGTTTTTTTTTTGGGGATGGGCAGCGCCGGGGCAAACATGTACACCGATAGCCCCACCGGCAAGCCGTCGCACCAACGCAGCGATGCATCTGCCCTCGCCGACTGCCACAAGAGAATGAACAACACATGTGGATTCCCAGACATGCGACGTCCAGATTTTTTCAGGACGGCTTCCCTGGAAGTCCAGACCCTCTCCCTAGGACCGGCTTTTCGTCCTGAGCCGTTGTTGCCGATGGTCCCGAGGCCTGGCGAGGGCCTCCCGAGGCCGAAAATAGCCGATTTTTGTCGCGACGCGACCGCGTCTGGGCTGATACATGGCTGGACTCGGGCTGGGCGAAAGGGGGGGATAGCAAAGGGGGGGTTTGAGAATCAGCTCACGCAGCTGATTCTTCCGGCGCCTCCCGGCGCCGGGAGCGGCCGTGTATCGAGGAATGGGCCCCTCGGTGAGGCCGAAACCAGCTGCATGCAGCAGATTTCGTACCCCCCCCTTTCCCAATCCCCCCCGTTCGCCCGACCCGATGGACCCACACGCGGCACACCCGGAGGCCACGCGCGGCATGCGCACCATGCGGAGGCCTCGCCCGCACAGCCGCCGCCGCAGGGCCGAGCGCCCGCACGAGGCCCGGCCGCGTGTGCGCCCAGCTCGCGCCCAGGCCGGCCGGGCCGCGCGTGCACGTCGGCCGGAAGGCGTGCAGGCAAAAATCGGGGAGACGTAAGACCCGGGTACGGGGGACTCGGGTTGGCCCGACGAGGTCGTCAAAAAAATGACGAGGCCGAGCCTGCATTTTGACGAGGCCTCCCGCTGCAGACATCCCACGAAACTCCTCCTCGTCAAAATCCGAGGCGCGGTCGTCAAAAAACGATGGCGAACCCGAGTCCTGGCAAACCCGGGTCTTACCCTCCCCCGAAAAAACACGGAGCAGAGCGGCGGAGAAAGAGCAGATGGGGGGTTCGGCGCCCCCCACCCCCCGAGAAGAGCAGAGCGCAGCAGAAGCACACATCGACTCTTTTGAAGCATGAAGGCGTTTGAAGTAGATTTGGGCCTGGGAGTCCAGAAATACCTACTTTCAACGACCGGCGTGTACGGACGGATTTGCCTACTCGAGGCCCAGATCTGCGCACTGATCATCGAAGCATCTCCGGATTCTCCCCTCGGCCCTCCCGATCCCAAGGTGTCCGACCTCTGCAAATCGCAGCTGCCAGGCGCTCCCGAAGTCCGAGCCTCCAGTTCAGAGAATGAGCTTCGACCCCAGGTCCTACAGTAGCATGTAAGGTGCGAGGCGCTCCACCTCGTCGTCCTCCTCCTCCTGCTCCTCCCGGTTTCGGGAGGCCTTCATACATCCATGGAGCGCCTCGGAACACCTTTGAAAGCGTCCGAACGCCTCCGATGACCGCTGGAGAGCCTCCGCCCCACTGTCAACGACCAACGTGCACGTATGCAGCGGCTGGTCCTATCCGAAGGCCCCCATCCTGCCTTCTCAGAAGGCTGGCCGGGCCCCGCTCGCCCTGCCTCCCCCCCCCGCCCGGCGCGCCGCCAGGAGAGCGGAGATCGAGCTTTGTCCTCCTCCTCCTCCTTCTCCTCCTCCTCCTCCTCCTTCTCCTCCTCCTCCTCCTCCTCCTCCTCCTCCTACTCTTCACCCTCCCCCCCCTCCTCCTCCTCCTCCTCCTCCTCCTCCTCCTCCTCCTCCTCCTCCTCCTCCTCCTCCTCGTCGTCGTCGTCGTCGTCGTCGTCGTCGTCGTCGTCGTCGTCGTCGTCGTCGTCGTCCTCGAGGGCAGGCCTCGTCCCCGCCCTGCCCCTCGCCCTGCTTCCCCTCGGCCCGGCGCTTCGCCACAGAGAAGCCGCCAGGAGAGCCGAGATCGAGGGCAGGCCTCGTGCCATGGCTCTGAGCAGCGGTCGGGTGCTGCCAGGTGTGCCCCTGGCCCGAGGTGGCCCCCGGGATTTCCGAGGAGGCCCCCGCGGCCTCCGAGGAGCACCCCTCGCGAGGCTGCGAGGGCCCAAGGGGCTCCAAGATTGAGCGAAACGCTGAGGGCACCTTGGGCCAGGGGCAGCTCTGGCGACACCCGAAGTGCACAGCCCTCCCAGCGGCCGTGCGCCCGGCCGGCTGGCGCTCCTCTCCTGCCTCCCACGTCGGCGGGGCGCCTGGCCTGCTCAGAGGCCAGCGGGGCTTCTCACGAGGCATCCCGCCTCCATCGAGCTCTCGTCGCGGCCTCCTCCGAAGCCGCAGGCGGCTTCTCGGAAGGCGCGAGGGCTTCTGAGATGCCCCGCCGCCTGCTGAGAAGGCTGGCCCCCGCTGCCTTCCACCCTTGAGCGCCACCGATCCTTCAGCTCCCACGGGAGAAGTAAGCCTGACCCTGGCCCTGCGAGGCCATGCAGAGTCGCGCTGGACGCCAACTTCCCCCATGCCCTCGGGGACGCGCCCAGCCCCAGGTCAGCGCTGACCCGGGTCAGCCTGGGCCCTGTCGCGAGCCCCCGCCGGCCGCTCGGCAGCAGTTCCCAGACCCAGGTCGGCGAAGAGAGGAGGTCGACTCCACGTGGCGCCCAAGCCCGGGTCAGCCACAGCGGCTTGGCCCACCCTTCTTAGCGCCGACCCGCTTGACATGCGCCCCGATGCCCTCCGTCTCCTCCCCCCAACGGTGTGCATCATGCCCCCTGTGGGCTGCAAGAGCTTCCGGCCTGCCCCATGTCTGCTTCTGCCCGGCATGCCCCCCCCGGGCCAATCGTGAACACCGAGGGGGCACACGCCGAAAATCTTCGTCAAGACCGGGATGTACCTGAGACGCTGTGGACTCCCTGCGCACCCTCGACCGATGTCTCTCCTGCTGATGCCAGGTACGCCGAATGACCTTGCTTCTGCGACTTACCACGCCGTACATGCTGGTGACGCTTGCTTTCGTGCTGGCCCTCTGTTTGTTCTCAAGCTGTATCCGCCACGCCCCTCCGCCCGTCCATACGTCGTTTCGGTATGGTATGATCGCACCGGTCTTGCACACGAGAAAGGCGTCACAATCCCACCAGCCATTTCCGTAGTTAGTTCAGCGCGTTGTTGCTTCAACCTCCGTTCTTCCCCTGCGGGCAGGGGTGCATGATTGCCCCTAATCTATAAGAACTACCTTTCCCGCTCGACCGGCCGCGAAACGAGGACCCATGAGCTCCCCCCTGCCAAAACATGGCGCGGCGATGGACCCAATCCTTAGCAACTTCCTGTAACGTTGGTGATGAACCGCTCGATGCACGATCCTTGTGAGGGATTTGCCGACATGAATGAGGGGACGCATGCAACAACGTTTGCGCTGGGACTAGGTGGAGCTCGCCATGAGGCGCGACACCTGAGGGTGGTGCCAAAATTGGCGGGGGGAACGCGTTCGACGCCTGCCTCTGGGGCAGCAGGTCCATGTAGAGCCGCGAAACGTGTGAGTAGCGTGCCGAGATGAGACCGCGTCCGCCATGCGGGCTTTCCCACCGTGACCGTAGGTTGAGCTACCTCTGAGGCATGTGGACGCACCCACAGCGGCGAGCTGTCTATGTGAGCACGATCATCGTGAGGGATCGTCCGAAATTAGCCGTATGGGGCCCCCTGTGGGGCCGCTATCAACACGAGGGGTGTGCCGAAATGCCCAGGGGGGGGGGCGCATGCAGACGCACCCACTGGGGACGTAGGTGGCGTTTCCTGTGGGGCGACGCTTTTCGCGAGGGGTGCGCCGAACTACGCGGGGGGGGGAGGGGGCCACATGGAGATGCACCTGCTGGCGCCGCAGGTGGAGCGACCCATTGGGCCAGGATCCTTCTGACGGGTGTGTCAAGGTGGACGGGGAGACCGCGTGGACGCACCCACTGGGGCCGTGCAGGGAGCCCTGTGGGGCCACGATCCCTGCGAGAGATGTGGCTAAATTGAAGGGGCCCTGGGACACACAAATAAATACACACAAATAAAAAGATTCCCCATATTTTCCCATATTTTCTGGGTTTCTGTCTTCCCCCCCCACTTCCCATATTTTCGCATATTTTCTGGGATTCGACGAATAATTGTGTCTGTGTGTTTTTTCTCCTCCTGATAAATGAGCGGGCGGGGGGCCAACTGGCGCGCGGAGCCGCCGCCAGGAGGTCCAGCGCCGATCCAGGAAGCCAGCGCGGACCTCCGACACATCATGAGTACGCAGATGCTTCTTCGACGTCATCACGATGTTCCTCCACCCTGCTCCTCGCCCTCCTGCTCCTCTCGCTGGTTCCCACAGCTGTTCCTTCCTGAGACCTCAGCACGTGCCGGGGTCTACCCAGCCCTTCTGCACCTCCCCCCCTCCTTCACGCTAAACACATCTCGCAGCGGCCACGCTCGAGATGCCCGCCAAAATCTGCGCGCGGGGTCACAAACCTCCACGATAGCGAATTGTGCAACCGATCCGAAATCGTCAACCCCCTTTGGACCATTGAAACTGCATGGTGACATGATCTAGCATACATTTGGACGGTCGAAATGGGGACGGGAAAAGCAGGTACGATGCCCAACAACATACGTTGTCCAAAACCGACAACGGCCGCTGCTGGGCCGGCGGCCTTCTGCCCAAAACGGACGCAATGTCCGCGGCGACGCCGGCAGCGAGGCCTGTTCAGAATGAGCCAACCTGCTGTCAGCCTGCGTACCCCTTATTTCCGTACCAATTTCGCGGGAGGAACCAAAAGACACATAACCATAAACTTTTGGCGCTCCGCGCGGGCTTCTTGGATCTGCGCTGGCCCCCCCTCCCTGGCGCGCGGAGCGCGCGCGCCAGGGGGCGGCGCTGGAGGCGCCGCCGGGGGGGGGCCCAGCGCAGCGCGGATCCAAGAAACCCGCGCGGAGCGCCAGAAGTCTATGCTGATGCCGTCTTCTCTCCTCTTCGAACGCAGCAGGCGCCGCTTGCCCAGCTCCGGAAGCCCAGAGCCCAACAAAAATTCGGGGGCCTCCCTCGGCCGCCTTTCCGCGGGCCTCCCCCCCTGGCGGACCTGCGCCGTCGCTCTCTGCTCACTTCCGTCGCCCCTTTCCGCCACGGGCGCGGTGCGCCCAGAGGAGGAGGAGGAGGAGGAGGAGGAGGAGGAGCAGGAGCAGGGGATGGAGGAGGTAGAGGAGGAGGAGGAGGCAGGAGGAAGAGGAGGAGGAGGAGGAAGGAGGTGGAGGAGGAGGAGGAGGATCGCAGCAGGGCGCCGCGGCAAAGAACACAGGCAGGCGAGGAGCAGTCGGGCGCGGGCACAAAATGAGGACGTGCACGAGGATCGAGAAGGAGGCCGCCACGATCAGATAGGGGTTCGCCCACGGCGGCATCTGAACCAGGGAGCCGTCCTGCTGACTGGCGAGGGCGGCTCAGGGAACGCAAAAAAACAGGAGGCGGCGCTGAGGCAGCGTCGAGAGCCGGATCCGAGAGGACTGCGCTGACGACGCAGGAGAGCGGGGAGGCCAGGGAGGCCTTCTGACGATGGCGTCGCCGGATGTGGCGTTCATGGTGGTGCCCGGCGACGGCGACGGCGACAGCGGCTGTGGCAAGACAGGGGGGAAAATCTATCTTGACCGGGATGGGGCACGGGGACGGGGCAGGGGGCATGGAGTCAGCACGACACGGGGCTGAGTGGGGGACGGCTGAGAGGCAGCCCAGGCGATGGGATGTTCGCCACTGCCCACTCGACGCTCGTGAGCGACCTTGGCTCCTACAGGGCTCAGAGCCGATTAGGACGGCGGGCAAAACGCGCTCGCGGATAGATGTTCGGCGGGTCGGCCAGAGAATCGAATCGCGCGGCAGGTCGCGGGTGGGTCGTGGGTGGGTGGGTCGCGGGGCGGGGCGCGGGGCGGGTCGCGGGTGGGTCGCCGGTGGGTCGCAGAGCAGGTCGGCGATCGCTCTGGAGAGATCAAATGTCCAAGAGCTATGCTACAGCCCTTCAGCAGTTGCGCGCGCCACACGTGCTCTGCAGGATGAGCTGCTGATCCATTCTGAGATGCTCCACGCGATCATAATATTCTTGTGTGGCCACAAAAGCAAAATCGAACGCGACGTGCACCGATTACCGAAACTGCAGAAATAGACATGTAAGTAGGTAACTTGCACATTGTGACCCCGTCGAAAGACATTGCTATGACCAACACGTCCCAAACGGTGGTTGACTGCATGGTCATCAACTGCCGCTGTCCTCGGAAAGAGCGTTGAACGCGTTCAGCATCTCAATGACAACAAGCACTGTCAACGACAGCGTCGAGGCCTTTACCTTGCCCGCTTTGAAATACGAACATGGGTCGGCATCGAACTTCATATCCTCCCGGGCCCCCGACTCCAAGCCATGCTGGCAGCCTCCTGTCGAGAGCGACACTCCTCGAAACAGCCCTTCCTCCAACCTGCGTGCGGTCAGAAGCTGTGCTTCGCGTGCTGCGGCGGCTGCCCCGGCGACACGCCATGTCGTGTGAGCGGATGGCGTGTCGCTCCGCTCCGCGGGGCGGGAGGCTTACAAAAACTCTTGACCTTGATGCCGTGGGGCTAGGCCGTGTCTAGCGTGTCGGGCCGAAGCGTGGTGGGCCAGAACTGGCGGTGCGACGCCTTGAGCAAACGTTTCTGATCGAGTGCTTCAAGCTGTGATGATGCCGCTCAACCGTTCTCTTCCACGAGCAAGTCAGCATGAAACACCGCTCGTCCCGCGTGCTGCCACTCACTCCCTGACACCACGGCGTCGCAACAATCACCGAGTGCTTGTCACAGCGCTGCCCCTCCAAGGCCAGCAAGTCCATGAACCAACGGCGCAACAGCCACAAGAGAGGGATACACCTTGCGAAATGCTTAAGAAATCATGGGTTAAGAAATTCAGAGTCTCAGAACTTGAATAAAACCCAGAACTTCTATCAAAATCTTGGGATTTATATTGAAAAGTTAAGAATAATCGAGACTCTGGACGAAAACTGAGGTTTTCTTAAGCATCGCCTAAGGTGTAGAGAGAATTCCCCCTAGCAGGAGCCGGAAGCACGCACGGCCGGATCCCCCTGTGCATCCTGCGGAGGCCCCGCCCCCGCGGGAGACGCACGCCCAGGGCGGGTGCACCTGACCCAGCGAGGGCCGAGCACCGGGAGTGCATACCTTTGCCACGTGTACATTCGGCTCCCGGTCGGGCCGAGAACATGGAGCGTGTGCAGTGCATACACCCTGCGAAATGCTTAAGAAATCATGGGTTAAGAAATTCATACTCTCAGAGCTTGAATAAAGACCCAACATTTCTATTAAAATCTTACGATTTGCATTGAAACGTTAAGAATAATCGAGACTCTGGCCGAAAACTTAAGTTTTCTTAAGCATCGCCTAAGGTGTACACCTACTGGGCCGACTCCTGCCAGGAACAGGAGCTGCAGCGCAGGCCCGCACCCCGCCCCATCCATGAAGGGCGCGACCTTGAAATTGGACCACGTGTCGCACTGGTTCCAGGTCATAAGCTGCGGGAGGGTGACCTTGGTCAACCGTGCTGCTACTCAAGCCAGATCCAAGGATTGCAAAAAAACCAAGGATTGCAAAAAAAACCCAAGGATTGCAAAAAAACCCTGGATTGCAAAAAAAAAACCCTAGGTTTTTTGCAATCATCCTAGGTTTTTTTTTTTGTTTGCAATCCTAGGTTTTTTGCAATCCTACACTCGTAGGAGAACGTTGGAAGAGGGACTCCCACCTCCGACGGGTTGATTCTTCCAAGCGTTCGCGGCCACCAGAAGTCCCGACCCTTTCTAAGGGGCACCAAATCCCCACCTGCGACAAGCACCCCGACAAGCGAAGCCGTTTCCTAAACGCACCCAAGAAGGGATCGAACAGGGCAGGGCTGTGTAGTAAACGCCCAGGGCTGTTCAGTAAACTCCAATTGTCGGGGCCTGGGTGGGTCTCTCTCCTTTGATTTACCTCTGGGACAGCGTTTCGTCCTGGAACCACTTTTGACTCTGCCAGGGCTCGAAAAGGGCCCCCTGAATCCTCAAGTTGAACCACAAATGCGCAGGATGTCTGGGGACGAGCGATGAGTAGAACCGAGAGGACGGAGCAGAAATAGACCACGACGCGCCTAAGAGTCGGCACGTTCAGATCTCTGCCATCGCTGTTGTTCCAGCCTCTGGCGGCCGTTCGGGACGGTCCAGGCACCCCCAGAACGCTCTCGGCGAGGCTCAGCTGCTTGAAAGCATCTCGAGGTGGGAAAGCCACAAAGACCCAGCAGAAATCGCAGAAAAACTAAAAGAATTTGGAGGGGAGGCCGCACACATCAAGAAACCTATCGTCGCTAGGCGAGGCGGCGAGTCCAGGCAGCGCGTGGCGGGGGGGACGAGGCCAAGAGATCTCAAATAGTAGCTGTGACCTTGCTCTTCGCGACCAGGCAGAGGAGGGGGGACCCGGAGGGGCAGGTGGAGGGGGATGGGAAGGTGATGAGGAGGGGATCGGGGGTGGGAGAGGGGGAAGATTGAAAAAGAGAGATAGAGAGAGAGATGATGAGGGAGAGAGAGAAAGAGATAGAAAGAGAGAAAGCGAGAGAGAGAGAGATACATATATATATATATATATACATACACAGAAAGAAGAACAGAGAGGCGACAAATCCGCGCGTCGTGAAGGAAATGAGAAGGAAGGCAACTCATCTCGAGAACGCCCTCGTCACCGACGCCCCCCCCCCGTCTGCAGACACACACACACACACACACACACACATACCACCTCCTCCTACTCCTCCTTCCCCTCCTCCTCCTCCTACGCCTCCTCCTTCTCTCCCACCTCCTCCTTCTCCTCCGCCTCATCCTCCCTGTCGCCCCCCTCCTTATGATTCCTAATGTCCTTCTCCTCCTCCTGCTCGTCACCCTCCTGCTCCTACTCATGATCTGCTTCAATTCCTGTCCTCATCTTCCTTTTGTATCATCCTGCTCGTCCTCGGCTTGTCGTCAGCCTCCATGCCTCTTCCTCCTCCTCCTCCTCCTTCTCCTCCGCCTCCTCCTCCGCCTCCTCATGCATATCACCATCGCATCCTCGTATTATGACTCGTCCGCCTCCTTCGCCACTCGTTATGATTCCTCTTCCCCCGTTCCCGTTCCTACTGATCAACATGCTCTTATCTGGGGAGCCGGCCAAAGTGTGCCCGTCGGCAGCTTCGTCGTAGCAGTACCAGTACACGAATATACCCAC